TGTATTTTTCTTTAACGTATGACCTGAAAGCTCTAACCTTTCATTCGGTAACAGGCACAGAGACACTCGACATTATGTACATAGAAGCCCTACGGCGTGATATTCTTATATTGCTAATACTCCATATAGCTTTACGGTCTTATAGCCTTACCGCTTGTAGTTTAACCCTCTTATAGCATTTCTTCCTTATCGCCATACCCCCTTATTGTCTTACAGCCTTACTCTTTAATAGCCTTATCTCCTTATTGACTTTCTCCCTTAAAGCCTTACCTCCTTGTAGCCTTACCCTTTGTACCCTTATCCCAATATTCTCTTCCATATAGTCTGACCCCCTTATAGCGTTCTCCTCTTATAGCCTACTCTCCCTCACTCTTACTACCTTATACCCATACCCCCTTATTGCCTTACTGCATTATAGCCTTACCCCTTACAGGCTTACCCCTTTATAGTCTTATCCCCTTATTGCCTCACTTCCTTATTCCCTTATCCTTTTATACTCTTACCCTCTTATAGCGTGACCCCTTTATAGCATTATTCGCTTATTGCCTTACTTCATTATAGCTTTAGCCCCCTATAGTGTTCCCTACTTATAGTCTTCGCGCCATATAGCCTTATCTTCTTGTTGCCTTACTCCCTTAAAGCCTTACCCCCTATTGCCTTTCTCCTTTAAAGCCTTACCCTCTTATAGCCTTACTCGATCTTTGACTTGAGACAGAGAAACACACTGAACATTACATATATAGATTGCCTTACTCCCTTCAGAGCTTATGGATGTTCCAATATAATAGCCCTTGTGTAGACTTATGGCTACCCCCCACCCCCTCCATAGGATGGTCATGGAGGACTTATGAGTGCCCCAATATAGTGGCCCTTGAGAGCTATGGGTACCCCTATTGAATGACCGTTAAGGGCCTAAGGGTAGGGTACTCCCATACAATGCCGCTTGAGGACCTATGGGTACTTCCATATAATAGCTCTTGGGAAGACCTATGAGTACCTCCTATGATGACCCTTGAGGACCTATGAGTACCTCAATATAATAGCCCTTGAGACCTATGGGTACCCAATATAATGGCCCTTGGACCTTCCTCCTTGTAGCCTTATTTGACCTCTGACCTTTAACCAGGCACAGAAAAACACACAGACAGACATTGAACATTATATATATAGATGATTTTCTTTATTCATTCATTTTCTCGTGGCAGCAGAGACAACCACCGATTAAAAGCAGAAGTAAGTGCTTGAATCAAACGAAAAGTGAAGAGAGATCGAACGACAACAACAACCAAAGCAAATAGAAACATCTAGAAAAAAGTTTTAGCATACTACTTACATACAAGTGATTTTATTTTGTTCATTTACAAAACATAACGCATACTATAGACAAAACGAAAAAGCCGATAAAAACGACTGCTGCTACCACGCTATCTGAACCTACGGGCATTAGGGAACGACGACTACCCCATGCACGTATGGTTCAGAACTTCGTTTTGGTATGGCTCGATGCCAATATCGATGATACGAACAACAGCGATTATATGAATATTATCAACAAATTAAGGAAAGTAGTGAACAAAATACATTCCTTCACTGATGTGAACGAATGCATCGATTTTGTAACTGATATTCACGAAGAGAAAATATTTATGGTCTTTTCTCATGCGTTCGCGCAAACAACTCTTCCTATTGTTTATGAAATTCCACAAATTCATAGCATCGATATTTTAAGTGAAAACCAAGCTGAGCAAGAAGGTTGGGTCAAACAAGGGCCAAAAATAAAAGGGGTGTTTACCGATATTGCTCCGCTTTGTAAATCTCTTAAACAAGCCGCACAAGAGTGTGATCAAAACATGATATCGATCAGTTTTGTCACCACTGACAGTGGTTCTACCCAGCAAAACCTCAATCAATTAGATTCTTCATTTATGTATACACAAATAATAAAGGAAATTTTACTAACCATCGATTTCAACCAACAGCATATTGATAAATTTGTTACATACTGTCGCGACGTTTTCGCAGATAATCCGTATGAATTACAATATGTCAACAAACTCGAGCATGAATACCGAAAGCATCAACCAATTTGGTGGTATACCAACCCATCTTTTTTATATTCCATGCTGAATCGGTCACTAAGAATGATGGAAATCAATCTCATCATAAGCATGGGATTTTTTATTCACGATCTACACAATCACATCGTCGACCTTCATGCTCAACAGCTTGCTAGACGTTCGGTTGCGGAATCATTTACTGTGTATCGTGGTCAAGGACTGTTAAAAGCTGACTTTGATCGAATGCTGAAGACACAAGGTGGACTATTATCATTCAACAATTTTTTATCGACTAGTATGGACCGTGAAGTATCTCTTGCCTTCGCTGAGAGTAACCAAACTGATCACGACCTGATAGGTGTTCTCTTTGCAATAACTATCAGTCCATCAATATCTGATACTGCTTTCGCCAACGTTCATGAAGTCAGCTACTTCAAAGTAGAAGATGAGATTCTCTTCTCAATGCATTCCGTTTTCCGGATTGGACCAATAATACAAATCGATGGAAATAATCGTCTTTGGAAAGTCGAATTAACGTTAACTAGTGACAATGACCCGGATTTGCATACGCTTACTGAACAAATGCGAGAAGAAACTAAAGGACCGACAGGATGGCTTCGACTAGGAAAATTGCTGGTAGATTTAGCACAGTATAACGAAGCGGAAGACTTATATGTAGTATTACTTGTTGAAAGTACGAAAGACGACGAGAGAGCAATTATCCTTTATCACCTCGGACTGGTCAACCTTCGCCAAGGAAGATATGCGGATGCGCTGACATTTTATGAAAAATCGCTGAAAATTCATCAAACAAATCCTTCATTGCAATATTCTAAGATGGCTGCCTGTTACAACGACGTTGGCATCGTTCATCAGCACCTAGGTAACCATTCGAATGCACTCTCATCTCATCAAAAAGCGCACGAAATCTACGAAAGAACACTACCTTCCAATCATCCTCAACTAGCTACCTCGTATGGCAATATTGGTTTGGTGTATGGGAACATGGGTGAGTATTCGAATGCGCTTTCATATCATCAAAAAGCATTGGAAATTGACCAACAAGCTCTTCCTTCAAATCATCCGAGTTTGACGGCTTCTTACAATAACATTGGTTCGGTATACAATAAAATGGGCGACTATTCGACTGCACTTACAGCTCATCAAAAAGCACTGGAAATTGCCCGAAAAACACTTCCTTCAGATCATCCAAGTTTGGCGGCTTCTTACAACAACATTGGTTCGGTGTACAATAAAACGGGAGACTATTCTACTGCACTTTCATCTCATCAACAAGCACTGGAAATTTACCAAAAATCTCTCCCTTCTAATCATCCAGATTTAGCTACTTCTTATAACAACATTGGTTTAGTGTATGCGAACATGAGTGACTATCGAAATGCACTGTCATCTCATCAAAAAGCACTGGAAATTCGCCAAAAAAC